CACACACACACACACATTCACACATGCAAGCGCATACAATATTTATACATATTCGCATTTGAGCGTGCGTAAGAGCTATCCTGAGTACACAATCGAGTAGTAATTGATACGAGAAAAAATTCTTCTCGCTGCACACACGCACGTACACACACACACACACACACACGCATACACACACACACACACGCACACACACATGCATACAAACAAATACACACATACTCTGTCAATGATACTTTTGCTCTATCACACACTCTTATTATAAACATATATCAAATTTAGACTGCCCTACTGTTTACATGTTTGTGTTTGTTTGACTATGTGTGCGTGCGTGTGTGTGTATATATTTATATTTATGTTTGTGTGTGGGTGTGTTTCTATTTTACTAATTTAACTGAACATACGCATACACTCACACAGGCACAAAAACCCGCACACACACGCACAACCTAACAACCAAACGTCTTTCGCAAATATACACCCTAAAAAGGGCTTTATGACGTCATTACGACGTCACTAGGTCGTGTTTAAAAGTGGGATAGACAGAAAGAGGAATGCGCCAACGAAAGGAAGCTCGTATGTTTATTTCGGTGATTAGTATATATGCATGCATACAAACAAACATACATACAAACGCATACACACACATACATGGATACAAACAATCAAACTTACACACAAACATACATTGTGTTTGTAATGTAATGGTTGCCAAGTTGGAATGATCACACGCGCAAGCCATTCAAATCTTATTGCCCGCTTTCTTTCTTCTTCTTCTTATTGAAGTTGTTATTTTTCTGTTACTGTTGTCATTGTTGTTGTTGTATTTGTTGTTGTTTCTATAGTAGAACGCATACATTTCAAAATTTATAAAGATTCATTACGATACATTCTTTATACTTTACATTGCAGTTCTGTGAAAAAAGATTGTAACACTACTTACACATGCGTATGATGGTCATGCGGTTTCGAACAGACCGTATTTGAACCATGGCCAGGCGTAATAGCAGCGCGAGACACTGGCACTTCTACCGACTAAGCTAGCAAACATACATGCAAGCCTGCATACACATATACCTGCCTTTAAACATTAAATACCAGTGTATGTATATGATACGTGTGTGTACATACATGATAAGATAAATAGATAATAATAATTTGATCGCGACACATAATTTCTATGCACATATCTCCAGCTGTTATAAAAACAAGAAGAGATTTTATTATATGTTGATGTGTAAAGTATATTTTTATTCAATAAAATTGTATATACATTTGTATTTTGTGTGTATGTATGTGTGCGTATGTATGTATGTTTGTTCTTATGTATGTCTGAGATGTATGTATGTGATGTGTGTATGTATGATTTTTGTATTGTATATAAATATGTTTGTATCTGCGTTTGTATATTTATCTAAATACAAAGTTGTGTATGTTTGTTCTAGTCTAATGAATGATGTAACCAATAAGTAGAAATGTGAAAAGTTGTATGTATCATCATGATGATAGATGTTAGTGTTCTATCAATCAAAAATTTTTTACACAATTTCATTGATTGGTTTGTCTGTTTGCTTGTTCGTTTGTTTGGTTGGTTGATTGTTGGTTTGTCTGTTTGTTTGGTTGATTGTTTGTTTGTTTGTTTGTTTTTTTCTAGTTTATTCTGTTAATGTTCTAGAGTTAAATTAATAAATTTGTTAATCATTTAACTGGTAGAGTTTAAAAAAAATGAAACACATTTAATCAATTAAATCGTGTAAATAAGCGTTAAATAATCAAATAGAATTATTCGATTAATCCAAAAATTGAAGCCAGGAACAAATTTTCTCAAAAAAAAAAAAAAATCTTATCTCGTCACATCTCTTCACTCCACGTCCAACGAACCATGCAAAAAGATTTCGACTGCAGACATTAATTAAACAACAAAAACTAACTGTGCTACATTTTAATTGGTTGCTTAAAATGGCCCCAAAATTTGAAAAAAAAATTTGAAAAGAGAAAGGATGCCAAATTATTTTAAAGGGCGAATTTTAAAAAAGGACCAAGTTTTTGATTGACCATCAAATTTTTGAGTTTGGGTCTAAATTTTTTTTTGTATAGTGCCCAATTTTATCTGTAGGATTAAATTTTTTTACAAGGGTAAATTATCGGAAAGGTCAAAGTTCATTGGATTGGGTGGGTGTAAATATTTATGGTGGTGTGTTTTAATTATTATATACCATCTTCATGATCGTAGTCGTTATCATTTTTAACGCTGGCATCATCGTCGTTATCATCGTTACCCTTTTTAATTCTGTCATCATCTTCATCGTCATCATCTTCATCATCTTCGTCGTCTTCATCTTCGTCGTCTTCATCTTCATCATCTTCGTCGTCTTCATCTTCATCATCTTCGTCGTCATCATCTTCATCATCTTCGTCGTCATCATCTTCGTCGTCATCATCTTCATCATCTTCGTCGTCTTCATCTTCGTCGTCTTCATCTTCATCATCTTCGTCGTCATCATCTTCATCATCTTCGTCGTCATCATCTTCGTCGTCTTCATCTTTATCATCTTCGTCGTCTTCATCTTCATTATCTTTGTCATCGTCATCATCGAAACCTAACACAAATGAAAATTTTGTTGTTTTTTCTTGCGGTGAGATGGTGCGAACGAGTCAACACGTTGTCATACTTAATAATCGTCCTCGAGTCGTTCGGCTATTGTTTGTCGTTGTTGTTGCTGCTACTACTGCTGCAGTTATTGTTGTTTTTGATGTTTCATGTTGTTGTTGTTTTCGCAGTTGTTGCCTCACAGTTTCAAAAGAAAAACATTCTAGACAATGCCAAACATCACCAAACAATTCAGTCGGCGTCATTTTATCTTTTATTCATTGCCATTCTTAAAGAATGAACATGATGTTACCACCAAATACAAAAACGTGGAAAAAAATAGTTTAATTTATTTTTTATTCATTCATTCATTCATTCGTTCGTTCGTTTATTCATTCATTTATTCATTCATTCATCCAACTATTTATTCACTCACTCCCGAATATTTTTACAATCATTGTAAAACGTAGATTTTAATTAGGATTAAGACGTTTTAAACGAAATAATTTCGTTTTGCATTGTATCGTTCCGAATCATCTCGCATCCTCTCGTTTCGATACAACAACTATACCACTATAAGTAATCAACATAGTGGATACAACAATTTTATTTTAATTATTTTAAATAAAAATATTTATTTACATTGTTAAAATTATTTGTGGTAGCAAAGTGAATAAAGAATGTTGTAGAACTTTCGTCAAATAAAACTCACCCACGTGAACGATATAAACAAAATATAAAATGTAAACAAATAACAAAGATAAAAAAACACACAAAAATATAACCAAAGAAACAATCTTAGCTTGGGGACAATTAGGAAAATTAAATGCAAGCCATCATTCAAAGTGCATAGATATAAAAACGAAGAAATGAAAAAAAAAAGAAAGAAAGGTACGTATTGATGCAAATAAAACATCAATACATTTATGTGCATTAGTTCTCTACACACACACGCGCACGCACACACACGCGCACACACACACACACACGCACGCATGTTAAATTCTAACCGCAGTTAATACTGGAAATGAAATAAACATAAAAAATGTCGTTTAATAACATCAATATAAAATAATAACATTAATAATAGTGTTGCTGTTGTTATTATTTTATTATTATTATTTTATTATCAATATTTAGTTTATATAATCTTTCAATTTAAACAAGATAGCTCTCGGATTTCTCTTTAAAACGTCCTCTTAACTGGCTTATATTCACGATGTGTGGATTATTATTTATTAAATTTTGGCACGTACGTATAATTGTTTGTTTGCATATGTGTGTGTGTTTGTGTGTATGTACGCGTGTATGTATGTGTGTGACTGTGTGTTTGTGTGTATGCACGTGTGTGTGTGTGTGTTAAGGTTTGAAAATTTTTGCTCATATCGCGCACCTCAAATTTTTTTAGGAGCATATGTGGTTGCTGTTTAATATTCATTTACGTTGTTGTTTATGTTGTTGCTGTTGTTGTTTATGTTGTTGTAGTTGCCGTTCATGTTGTCGCTGATGTTGTTGCTTCTTCTGCTGCTTTGTTGCTGCTGCTGCTGAAGTTGATAATGTTTTCGATGCAGAATTTTTTAACGTTAATTTTATCTCTACAGCGTTTCATCTTAAGATTCATCATAATTCTTGATAACCTTCAGATTTTTATCATTATTATCATTATACTTTTCAAATTTCTTCTTTTTTTTATTATTATTGTTATTATTACCATTATAATTACTATTCCCTAGTTAAACTACCAAACACAGGAACCTAACTACATTTTATGTTTGTCTATATTACATTCCATATTATTTTTAGTATGATTATTGTCATAATTAAAATTATTGTTATTGTTGTTGTTATTATTATTTTTGTTGTTGTTGTTATTGTTATTATTATCGTATACCCATCTACAAAACGCTGGGGACCGATATAGCATTTTTATAATTTTGGAGGCGCATATTTTAAATTAACTTGAAAAATATATTATGATTATTATTATTATTATTGTTGTTGTTGTTGTTGTTGTTGCTGTTGTTAATATCTTTGTTGTTGTTTTTAAAATTATTTTTGATGTAATTTTTGCTGTAGTAAAAGTAGTAGTTGTATTAGCAATTGTAGTAGCAGTAGTAGTAGCAGCAGTTGTGACAGTGAAAATCGCAATTTTGTTGTTATTATTGTTGTTAAATTTTTTGTATTTTTGATGATTTTGCTTATTAATACGCAAATAACAACATCATAACAACAAACTACATTAACAACAACTACGTTAACACCAACAATATTAACGACAACTACATTAACACCAGCAACATTAACGACAACAACATTTACAACAACTACATTAACAACAACGACAACAACTTCAAATCTCCAAATGTGTTTTAACAGTAAAAAAAGAATTTGTTTAGCACCTTGATTAATGATCTGTGCGAAGAATAACATCTTCTCTCTCACATCTTTTAATTCTGCGCGCCAAAATGAAAATTCAAACTACACGACATAAACCTAGTTTTTCAATGTCTAATACCCCCCAAATAATTTTTTTTAATTCTCTTTGGCCAATAAATATTTATAAATTTGCAATTTTTAAACATTTTAATGATGACGATGAGGGGAAGATGACGACGACGATGACGATGATGATAATAATGGTGAAGTGAAGGTCATCTGTTAGTAACTAACTATCTCAACAGGAAATAACTTTCAAATCAACATCTTAATGAGAATTAATTTTGTAATCTAATCTAATGAAAATTTAGAAAAAATAACGGAGAGAATCTCAACCTCAGAGAAAGAAATGATTGGAGCAGCGTGGACGCGCGTGTACTAAAAAAACAAATATCCAGTTGCAATTGCTTGGAATGACTTTTTTAAGGACAGACATTTTAAAAACATTCCCGCCGCTAATAATGGCGTCGTGTGGTGTGTGTGTGTGTTTTTGTGTGTGTGGTGTGTGTGTGTTGTGTGCGTGTGCGTGTAGTTTTAAGTTTCGTTGTTTCAGCTACTCGTCTTGACTCATTAAAAAGTTGATTGCTTCTTATTCTAACGGCCATTTATGAAAAAGAGCGGAGATTATTATTCAAACATACATATATAGTAAAATATATAGTAACAAGTGAGAGAGAGAGAGAGAGAGAGAAAGAGTGAAAAAAAGAGACTACATACTCTCTTCGTGTTACAGCATGATCAAACTATGGCGTAAATCAGACACTGTACCGCCGGCATATGCGTAAAAATAATTTCAAAGCTAAATTTCGTTAGCGTGGTTGAACGAATGCCTCATCTCGCAATCGACGCCGAGACATCTGATACTCCATATTCTATTAGAAGAAATAGTTAATACATTAATTATCGCATCAACGATTGCTGTGGCGTTTGAGAAGACATTAGCAACTTACTGTCATCAACAACATCAACTTTAACAAAAAAATCCAAATTATTTAGTTAAAGCCAGTCCAAAGCGGAATAAAAAGGAGTGCAGAGTTTCGAATAAATTTTTCATATTTGTAAAAGTGTAAGCCTTTATTATAGAAAGCATGTATGTCTGTGTGTGTGTGTGTGTGTGTGTGTGTGTGTGTGTGTGTGTGTGTGTGTGTGGTGTGTTTCATTTATGCATGCATGTTTGTTTGTTTGTATGTGTGAGTGTATGTTTGTTTGTTTGTATGTGTGAGTGTATGTTTGTTTGTTTGTATGTGTGAGAGTGTACGTGAACAGTCTAAGACAAAGGCAGGAAGAGCTTGTCAACAGCAAACATATTGCCAGTTTTAAATCATTTTAAACTCTCTATTTTCTTTCACACTCTCTCTTCCTTTATCTCTCTCTCTCTTACTCTCTCTCCATCTTTTTCTTTTACACTCCTATTTTTTTCTGTCTATCATTCCTATTCTATCTCACCTCCTCTCTCTCACCTCCTCTCTCTCTCTCTCTCACTCTTTCTCTCTCTTTCACTTTACTTCTTTTTCTCTCTTTCCGTTATTCTGTCTGTGTGTTTTTAATCTTTTAATTTTTCCCGCCATATTTTAATTCAGTTTTTTGGTGCTATTTTTAACGGTGATAATTTAATCACCAAATTAATTGATAAATATTTGGTGATGATTAATGGTGGAACGAGTCGATAAAAAATAAAGAAATAAAATATTTTATTATTTTTATTATTTATTATTATATTATTTATTATTATTGTTGTTGTTGTTGTTTTTGTTGTTGCTACTATTACATATATAATTTATATAATATTCTATATTTTTTAAAATTTTTATATCATTAAAAATTCGTTCGATATTATACCTATGCACATTGTATATACCTTTAAAAGTCTTTGCATATATGTATGTATGTATGTATGTATGTATGTATGTATGTATGTATGTATGTATGTATGTATGTATGTATGTATGTATGTATGTATGTATGTATGTATGTATGTATGTATGTATGTATGTATGTACGTATGTATGCCTGTATGTATATGTGTGTGTTTGTATGTGTGTATGTGTGAGTAGCGTGTGCCTATGTATGTGTGTGTATGTTTATGCGTATGAACTTCGCCTTATATCATATATTAACTGAAGTCAAAATCAATACAAGCTCTTCTTAAGTGTTAATTAGGGAAGACTTCATCATCGAAGTAGTAACAACAACAACTCAGTAGCAGCAGCAACAACAACAACAATGACGACAACAACATCAGCAACAACATCAACAACAACAACAATGACTACAACAATGACGACAACAACAACAATATCCCGTTAATTAAGATGTTTTATAACTTGTTGCTGCTGTTGTTGTGGATGTTCTTGGGAGATAATGTTTATGTTTTGTTTGTGTTGTCTTGTTTTTTTTAGCGAAAACAGTTGTTTTGTAGTTGTTGTAGTTGTTGTTGTTGTTGTTGCTTTGTTTTATTGTCCGATGTTAATGTTCTAATTGGTGATCATAGAAAAATTTCTGTACATTGCAATATCATCTCAGTTATTGTAACCGTTAAAATCAGCATTTTATTATTAATTCATACTTTTGTTCACTCATCTATTCGCACACTTTCCATCAATTTATCCTTTCATTCATTTATCCAATCATCAATTCATCCATCCATTCATTCATCCATTCATTCATTCATTGATTCAACTGCCATCCATGTATATGTACGTACATCCATCTATCTAATCATTCATTTACTCATTCGCCAATTCATTTATCTACTGTTCATTCACTCACTCACTCACTCACTCACTCACTCACTCACTCACTCACTCACTCACTCACTCACACATACTCA